CGTGGAGAGAATTGGGCCCCACATCGATCCGCATCGCTGAGACATTGCCGATGCAGCGGCGATGCGTCGGGATCCTCCGACCCCATCTACTCCGACCTCATCTAGGAGGCCTCGAGGAGGGGTGCGAGGGCCCGCGCCGATCGGCAAAGCAATGAATACAGTCGGCCCGTATCATAAGGGTGCGCGATAAGGATGCAAGGACCTTGGAAGGCCATCTCGAAGCTTCACGAGCGGGGCGCGGCCAACGAAAGTGGCCGAGGATGCACCGAGGGAAGGATGCAAGGGTACCCTTGGGAAGGTTGCTCATGGGCTTGTTTTCCACCACCACCACCATAAGTTGGAGGGGGAGGGGGTCCTCCTCCTCCTCCTCCTCCTCCTCGTCCTCCTCCCTCTCGTCCTGCACCTCCTCCCCCCCTCCAACTCATGGTGGTGGTGGTGGTGGAAAACAGGCCCATCAGCTCATCCTTGCTGTGCGGCTTGACTGTCAGAGAACGACTTCTTTTAAGACAGTGAAGGTCTCAATGTCTGGCACCTCCTCTGCTGGCGGCAGACGCTGCGCGCGCCCGCCCTCCCCGGGCGGGCGCGCCCGTGGCGCGGGCGCGGGGGGGCCCCCGGCAGCGCAGCAGGCCGAAGAGAGGAACACAGGAGCCGCAACGAGGGCCCCACGAGTCCCAGCCTGAGGCCACTGCGCAGGACCCGCTGCCCCTGCCATCGCTCGGCCGTGCACTGCCCGTGCTGGAAACAGAAAAAAATGCCACACACACATAAACTTGTGGGCGCTCCGCGCGGGTCCCTTGGATCTGCGCCGGACCCCCTCCCTGGCGCGCGGAGGGCGCCAGGGGCGGCGCCGCTGGGAGGGCCCCTGCGTGGATCCAGGAGATCCGCGCGGAGCGCCAAAAAGTTTCTGTCTGTGGCATGTCTTCTTCTTCAACGTGTATGTCTCGATGCCGTGTGCCTGTTTGAGGAGAATGGTCCAAGATGCTCCTCGTCGGGAGCGGCCAAGAGGGGGGTGTCCAAGAGGGAGGGGTGCAAATCATGACCGGCGCCATCTGCGCGGCCCAGCGGGGGAGCCAGGGACGTAATGCAATGAGAAGAGGCGCCGTGAAATCAGGGGAGATATATCATGGCCCACGCCAGGATATCCCCCCCCTCCCCTAGTCATCCACCCCCCTCTCTGCCGCCCCCCGACCTCAGTGGTATCACCGCCGAGGGCAAAAAACGCACACGTCCGAGTGATGCCAAGTGCTCCTGACCCTGGCGCCCCCAGCAGCCGCGCGCCCCCCGCCGACCCTCGCCGTCGGACTGGCACGCGGCGCCGGAACACGGCCGGACGGGGCACCCGCGCGCCGCTGCCCCTCCTGCGGGCAGGCCTTGCGGCGCCCCGTCCACGAAGGTCCAAGGCGACACTGGCTATGGATACACAGATTGCCCGCAACTCTGAAGGGGAACTGGGACACACAGATGAGTACACACGAATCAAAGTATCCCCCATCTTTTCCCACATCTTCTGGGGGTTTGTCTTCCCCCCCACTTCCCATGCTTTCCTACATGTATTCTGGGAATCGCCGATGAATTGTGTCTGTGTGTGTTTTTTCCCCTCCGGAATCTCACTCTCCCCCTGCGCCCCAGCTTCCCTTGCTTGGCCCGCCCTCCGCGCGCCCACAAACCAGCGGCCCTCAGAGCGTGGGTCAGCGCCGACGTGCGCCCGTGCACCGAAGCCCTTCGGTGCGACGCTGGCGTCTCGGGCCGCGTGCTGCCGGCGGAGCTGAGCGGGGTGAGCGCACAGTGGGCTGACGCGCGCCCCGAGGAGCATCGAGCAAGCCACCGGCCGCAGCCTTCTGCGAGCCAGCCGACGTGCTCAGAAACCAATCGTCTGGAAGCCGCTGGAGAACGCCTCCACATCGGACTTCAACTGCAAGAGCCTCCCCGGAGGGGCCTCCCGCAGTACCCTCTTGAAATCGACGAGCTTCGGACCGCTCTGCTTCTGCACCTCCGCCGCGATGTCCACCGCTTCCGCGATGAACTCGCCCACCTTCACGAAGTCGGCCTCCATGAGCCCGCGGGATGTCATCGCGGGAGTGCCGACGCGAAGACCGTTGGGGTTCATCGCGCTCTTGTCGCCAGGAATCGTGTTCTTGTTCAGCACGATCGAGGACGCCTCGCACACAGTCTCGGACTTCGATCCGTTGACGCCCTTAGACCTGAGATCGATGAGGAGCAAGTGGTTGTCGGTGCCGCCAGACACGATGTCAAACGCCTTGCCTTGGAGCGACTCCCCGAGCGCCTTCGCGTTCTTCATCACCTGCTCCTGGTACTGGCGGAACTCAGGGGACATGCCCTGCTTCAGGGCGACGGCCAGCGCCGTGATGGACTGGTTGTGGGGGCCGCCCTGTAACCCAGGGAAGACCGCCGCGTTGATCTTCTCCTCTACGGGGCCCAAAGGTTTACACCACCACCATCTCCCTCATCCCCTCCCTCTCCCAGGAAAGAGGAGAGGAAGATGAGGGTGGAGGAGGGAGGAGGCATTGACGTGGTGGTGGTGGTGGTGATACATTCTTGAGGCCCGCATCCTCGAAGTCGTACATGATCGGGTTGCCCTTCTTGTCCTCGCCCTTCGCGTTAAGGGCTTGACGACTTCTGACGTCCCTCGGCTCGCGCTAGAGCGGCCGCGATTTGCTCCAACTTCCCCTTGAGATCTTTGGATTCACCTGGATTTGCCCCGATCTACCTGGAGCTACCTGGATGAATCTGCCTTTGCCTGGATTTCTCTGGCTCGATCCCCACGAGTCGATTGGCGAAAAGTCGTCAAGCCCTATAGGGACCTTCTGGCCCCTCCTGTAGAAGATCATCGCGCCGCGGGGGCCGCGGAGGGACTTGTGCGTGGTGGTGGTCACTACGTCGGCATACTCGAACGGAGAAGGGACGGTGCCGCCCACCACCAGGCCTGACTACCTACCAGACCACCCGAACCCAACCCGAAGACCCGAATTTCGGGTTGGGGGGGGTAAGGGTTCCACGCGTGTTTTTTCGATGTTCCCCGACTTCCCCCCCACTGGAAATCGACGGTAAATTTGAGCCTTCGGGTTGGGTTGGGGTGGTTTGGTGGGTGGTGAAGGCCAGAGATGTGCGCCATGTCGGCGAGGAGGATCGCGCCGCACTTGTCCGCGATCTGCCTCATGCGGCCGTAGTCGATCAGGCGGGAGTAGGCACTGGTGCCGGCGATCAGAATCTTCGGGCGGATCCGCAACGCGAACCGCTCGCACTCATCGTAGTCGATGACGCCGGTCTCCTCGTTCAGCCGATACGGGATGGACTCGAAGTACTTCGACACCGCCGAGATCTTCTTGGTGTCGGTCTGGAAGCCGTGCGACAAGTGGCCTCCGTGCGGGAGGTCCAGGCCCATGATCCGGTCGTGCGGCTCCAGCAGAGCGGTGTACACCTGGAAATTGGCAGGGGACCCGCTGAGCGACTGCACGTTCACGCCCCAAGCCTTCGGGTCCAGCCGGCACGCCTGAAGAGGCCCAGGAACACACACACACACAAATCCCAGGATCCCCCCATAATTTCGCATATTTTCTTGATTTTCGTCTTCCCCCCCGGCCACTTCCCAGATTTTCCCTATATTTTCTCGGAAGTCGACATTGAATTGTGTCTGTGTAGGTTTTCCCCTCCTGGATGCCTCCAGCGCCCGCTGCTGGCAGAGGCTCTCGGCCTTGTCGATGAACTCGTTGCCGCCGTAGTACCTGGCGCCAGGGTAGCCCTCCGAGTACTTGTTCACCATCACGGAGCCCACGGCCTCCAGCACGGCCTTCGACGTGAAGTTCTCTGAGGCGATCAAGTTGATGCAGCGCTTCTGGCGGTCCATCTCGCCTTCGATGATCCCTGCAATCTCTGGGTCGACCTCCTTTCGGGCGTTTGTTGTTAGTGATTCCAATCCATATTCGCGGCTTCGGATCCCAATCGCCAACCGGCTACCCTTCTCGGCGGCGAGCGAGGGGGGGAAATGAGGAGAAGGCTTTCTCAGAAGGCGACGGGACTTCTCTTGAGCCCTTCGCGCCTTCTGAACCACTGTCTCTGTGTCTCCGGGGCCGGCCCAGAACACTTCTGCGAAAAAGCCAGAGGACTTCCGAGCCTTCCGAGAAGGCCCGCCCTCTTCTCGCTTCCCCCCCCGGGCTCGCCGCAGGCAACCACTCCAGACCCCCGACGTCGTGATTTCCACAACGTCGACCCGCAGAGGTCTGGACCCCTCCCCTGGACCAGATTTTGCACCTGAGCCGTTTTTGTGGACGGTCCCGGGGCTCAGGAAGGGCCCCTATAGAGGCCGAAAAGAACGAAAAACCTCCCGCCGCGAGATTCCTTCACAGCGCGAGGAGGTCTGGGACTGCCCGGCTCCCCTTCACCGGGGGCCCTGGCTTTAAGTCGCGCCTGTCCCCCTACAGAGGGATTTTCGACGAAAAATAAAACATACCCCCAAGATATGACAAAAAGGTCCAAAAATAAACCAAAAATAGTCCCCAGACTATTGTTGTAGCATTTTTTGATTCTTCTTAGGGTATCTTTTATTTTTCGTCGAAAATCCCCCTGCAGGGGGACACGCCCGACGTAACCCTGGCTGCAGCCGGTCCTTCAGGGGCGAGTTGAGGCGCTGCGCCTCCACGGAGATGGCGCGGCCGCCGGCGGGCGCCACGCGGTGCCCCGCGCGAGCCGCCGCGGACGCGGCGCGCCCGCACGCGCGTACCACGGCGGCCATGGTCGGCGCGCTGCCCGTGGCGCCCTCGGCAAACTCGGCAGCCCAAAAAAGGACGAAGCCAGGGCGAGGATAAAAGCTGGCACGGGCACATCGAGAATCTGCGAGACCCGGCGGCTCTGGAGGACATCTCGGGCGCCGCGGCCGTAGCAGAGCGTTCCGTATCGCTCTGAGAGCGTTCCGGAACGCTCAGGAACGGATTTATCCTCGCCCTAGTCCCGTTCGGTCCGACTCGGGGGGGGGACGAAAGGGTAGGATAGCAAAGGGTAGGGAAAAACATCGGCTCAAATAGCTGGTCTTCTGGGCGCCTCCTGGCGCCGGGAGGCGCCCATTCATCGAGGAATGGGCCTGGCGGCGGGGCCGAAACCAGCTGCGCACAGTCAATTCGTATCAGAAGGATGCGCGGTAAGGATGTGAAGTTTTTCGAACGAGGTTGGCCAGCGAAAGTCGCTAAGGATGGGCCGAATGGGGCAAGGATGCAAGGGTACCCTTGGGAAGGTTACCCATCCTCACCATGCGGGTTGACTGTACTGCAGATGTCGTACCCCCCTCCCTATCCTACCCCTTCGTCTGGCCCGACCAGCACCACCGCGCTCGAGAGGCGCGGCGCCCGAGCCAACATGGCGATGGAGAGGCGCCAGTGCGGTCTCGCAGAAACGCAGAAACACATGACATGTCACAACAACTGCAAACCTATGGCCTCATACCCCCTGAGAAGGCGGGACGGCTGAACCGCTCAGCCCGGCTCGTCCTCGTGGTGATTCGCCTCGAGCACCTCGGAGAACTTGGCCCAGAGCTTCTTCCGCTCCTGGTCTGGCTCAGCGGCGGGATCGCTCCAACTGCTACCCCTTCACCTGCAAGCGTCTGGATTGTTAGCATCCTCCCCCTAATTCCACTCCTCCTCCTCCTCCTCCCTCCCTCCCTCCTTCCTCCCTCCTCCCTCCCCCCTCGACCTCCTCATCCTGCCAGTTATTCGTCTCCCTTCTACCTCCTTCTCTTCCCACACCTCCCTCTTCCTCCGCCCCTGCTCCTGCTCCTGGTCCTCCTCCTTCTCCTCACCTCCCTCCTTGATCCCCCTCCTCCTCCTGTTCCTCCTCCTCCTCCTCCTCCTCCTCCTCCTCCTGCTCATTCTCCTCCTCCCCCTCCTCCCTCATCCCCCGCCCCTTCTTCATCGACTTCCTCCTCCATCTCCTCCCCCTTCCCCCGCCTCCTCCTCCCCCTCCCTCCGTTCCCCTTCTCCTTCCCTCCTCCTCCTCCTCTCCTCTCCTCCTCCTCCTCCTCCTCCTCTCTCCTCCTCCTCCTTCCCCCTTCTTCCCCTCCTCATGCTCCTCCTCCCCCTCCCTCCTCCCGCATGCCTCCCTCCTCCCGGAGTCGGGCACACGACGACCCGGGCAGACTCTGCGAAGACGGCGGCCGCCGCCCGCCGGGCCCGCACCGACCAACCGCCCTGCTGGGCCAGGCCCCCGCCTCCCACCCACGAGGGAGGCGAGGAGGAGGAGGAGGAGGAGGAGGAGGAAGTGGAGGAGGAGGAGGAGGAGGAGGAGGAGGAGGAGGAGGAGGAGGAGGAGGAGGAGAGGAGGAGAGGAGGAGGAGGAGGAGGAGGAGGAGGAGGAGGGGGGGCACGCCGCCCACCCACGAGGGAGGCGGGGGGGGAGAGGGCGCGGGCGAGGACCGAGGGGGGGGGGAGATTCGGTCTCCTTACGACCCGAGCGACACTTTACCACCGAGACAGGTCACCCTACAACCAGCAGAGGATCGCATTCCATGGCTCTCCTTGGAGAACGGCCGCCCTACAACCAGAACGGCCCACTTTACGACCAGGGCGACCACTTTATAACCCAAACGGGGCCCTTTGCAACCAGAACGGCCACTTTACAACCAGCCTTCAGAAACGCAGAAGCGCGCGCGCGCTCTGCAGAGGCGTCTGAGGCTCCTGAACGCCTGCCCGAGCGCTCTTCAGAGGCTTCTGAGCGCCTGAGCGTTCTGCAGAGGCTTCTGAGCGCCTGGGCGCTTTGCAGATGCTTCTGAGCGCCTGAGCGCCCTGCACACGCTTTTGTGGCTTCGTAGCGCCTGGGCGTTCTGCAGGGGTCCTGAGCGCCTGAGCGCTCTGCGGAGGCTCCTGAGGTTCTGAGCGCCTTTGCGCCCTGCAGATGCTCCTGAGGCTCCTGAGCGCTTGGGTGAGTTGCAAAAGTCTGAGGATAGATAAGCAGCGGGCGGAGGAGGGGGGCCGCTTTGCGGCTGCTGCTGCCGCGTTGCTGCTCTCCGGGGCTTTGGGGGGGCCTCCTGGGGGGTGCAACACACTTCTTGGCCGCATATCCACCCTCCTGGGTACGCATGCCAACGGCATAGAACACGCGGGGGTCCTCACCCTGGTCCACAAGAGGCTCCCGTCGCGCCAAAGGGGGGCCGAGGGAGGGAGGGACGGGCAGGTGCTGGCGGTGGAGGTGGCGCAGGTCGTCGTCTTCAACGTCTACAGCCCGCCGCACGTGGAGGCGACAGAGGCCATGAGCATCATTGCCACGATGGTGCACACCGACGGCCTCCGGCAGTGGTTCGCCGCCGGGGACTGGAATACGCAGCCGGACAAGCTGCTGCTGCCCTACGACACGTGCAGGGTTGAGGCGTCTCAGGAGGAGGGGCACTGGACGAGCACAAAATGGAACGCAGAGAGTGCAATCGATTACGGGGTCAGTTGCAACTTTGGGGTCAAGCAGACCTGGATTGACCCGGAGGAGAGCGCGGTGGCGGACCACCGGACTGTCAACTTCTTCACGGAAGAGCTGAAGCACCGGGCCGGCGAGACGGTGGAGTACGAGCTGATGCGGCACTGCAGCCTGGAACGGCCCAAGGACGTCTCCCTGGAGCGCTGGACGAACGTCCTGGACGAGGAGTGGCGGCACTTCCACGGCCGCTCGCACACCATCCTGGGACGACCAATGGAGGAACCGACCGGCACCGAGGAGGACCAGGTTGCTGTCGACAGGAGGTGGCGTCACATGACGTACTGCATGGAAGTCGCCTGCCGCCGAGCACGCGCGCTGCTGCTGCAGGAGGCGGAGCAGTGGGAGGAGAGGAAAGAGGAGGATGAGGAGGAGGAGTGTGACGAGGACGCAGGAGGACGCAAGGAAGGCAGACGAGACCTTGGGCCTGCTCCACGCGAGGGCTGCCACAAAGGAGTGGTGCAGGTCAAGGAGAGGAGGAGGAGCCGGGCCGCCGGAGGAGGCGCGGCGCCCACCTTCCAGGAAAAGCATCTCGCAAACCTCGTTGCGAGGTGCCGCAGGCTGCGCTTCTTGCAGCAAAGGGCCCAGGACAGGTCCGAGGAGGCGGAAACGTTACGACGAAAGGTGGAGGAGGCCGCGCGGCGCCTAGACGTGGCTATCCCCACGGGGGTCGACAAATGGGCCGCCCTGGAGAAGGAGGCCGGAGATCGCTTGCACCGCTGTCGTGAGGAGGCGAGGAGAGCGAGGATCAACCGATGGAAGGAGCGCCTGCGAGAGAGCTCGCGCGCTGCACACGCATGGCTGCGAGGGGGTACCCGGGCACCAGGGGCACCTCTCTACAGCAAGGAGGACCCGGCACGGGCGGCCACGAAGACGACGGAGGAGGCGCTGCTGCTCCTGAGGAGGCGGTGGCGAAAGGTCTGGAGGAGGACCAGACCGAACGAGAGGGAGTGGAGGAGGAGGCTCCAGCAGGCCCTCGAGGGGATGAGCGTGCGGGCGTGGGAGCCGCTGAGCATGTTCGACGTGCGCGCAGCCATGAGCAACATGGCGGGCAGCTCCGCAGGCCCTGACGGGTGGACAGGTACAGAGCTGGCTGGGATGGTGCCGATGGTAACGGCGTTGACAGAGTTCTTCAACGACTGCGAGAGACGAGGGAGGATACCCACCAGCTGGTCGGAGGCCCGGCAGGTGCACCTGCCGAAGGCGACGGGCAGGGAGAGCGACGGCGCCATGGAGGTCGAGGCCATGAGGCCGGTCACGATCTTCAGCTGCTTCTACAGGTGCTGGGCGTCGGCCCGCTTGCGGTCCACGTCGTGCCAAGAGTGGACAGAGGAATGGTGGCCAAGCAGCTGCCACGGAGCCAAGAAAAGAGCGTCGGTATGGGGCGCCGCTGCGGTCATCACGGAACAGATGGAGGCAGGGGCGTACGGGACCAGCTGGTACTACTCGCTGTGCTTCGACTACGTCGACCCCTGGGTCGCGGAGGAGGCGTTGAGGCTGCTCGGGATGCCGGACGGGCTGCGGATCATCCTGGCCACGCAATGGACGACGCAGAGGAGGTGGCTGCAGCTGGACGGGGCCACGCTACCAGAACCGGAACAGGTGGACGGGTCCCTCCCCCAGGGAGACCCATGGTCCCCGCTGGCGCTCACAGCGGTGCTGGCCGGGCCGCTTTTCGAGGCGCAGGCGGCGGCGCCGAGGGCGGTGTTCACCCTCTTCGTGGACGACAGGACGTGGACGGCGCCTACGGCCCCGGAGCTGTTCAAGGCCGCGGAGGTGTGGAAGGAATGGACTCTGGTTCTTGGTCTCAAGGAAAACGAAGGCAAGCAGCAGTGGGCGGCGGCCACACCGAGCAAACGCCGACACCTGCTGAAGCAGGGGGCTACCAAGGACAGGATCCACGACAAGCTGGAGGTTTTGGGCATGAAGCTCACAGGGGGCCGGAAGCGGGCCAAGGTAGACAGGGAGAAGAAGAGAGTGGAAAAAGCTTTACAGCAGGCGCGCCGCGCGCAGCTGCTCCCCCTGCAGCCGCGGGCTCTGCGGACGGTGCTGGCGTCCGGGCCCATCAGCGTGGTAGAGTACGGGTGGATCAACGACACGCCGTGCAAGTCGGACACCGGAAAAATCCAGACCGCAGTGGACCGCGCGGTCGGCCTCCCGCGGCGCACGGCGCCGGCGCTCAGGAAGCTGGTGCAAGGGCACAGACTCGACGTCGCCTACCGGGTGCAGCAGACCGCGGTGATGGCGGCGGCGAGGGTTGCGGCCAAGACGCGGCCGGGCACGACACCGACGCAGTGGAAGAGAGGCAGAGGCTGGGGCGGCAACGTCGCCGCCATGCTCAAGGCCACATGACGGGGGATTGGGCGTGGCGCCACGCGGGGCTCGACCAACGCATCAGCCTGGACAAGGGCAACAGGGAGTGGCGCAGGCCGAAGGCGCTCGCCCACGTGCTTCGGGAAGGGTGGCGGCACACCTGCTTCACGCAGTGGCAGCGCGCCAAGCGGATCGACTCGGGTCTCTGCAGGTGGGAGAGCTATGACCCCCGCAGGATCAAGGCCGTGCAGACGGCGGCGGCGAGCAGCAGGAAGGCGGCAGCTTTCCTGGCCGGCGCCTTCGTGTCCCCCGCGGCACTGGAAAACAGCAGCAGCAGCAGGGCGCAGCGGGCCGCACAGGCGGCCGATGCGGCGCAGCAGCCGCCGAGGGAGGAGGAGGGCCCCAGGGAGCCGCTGACGCCCTGCCGGTGGTGCGGCGCGCCCGTTCCAGACACCGACCACCTGCTGTGGTCTTGCGCGGGCCTCCAGGGCCGGCCCCGGCACAGGCCGCGAGATCCGCTTCAGAGGCGGCTCGCCTGGCCGACGGGCGAGCGACGCCGGGCAGACGCGGACAGGCGCATCCTCGAGTGGGCGATCCATGTCCGGGACGTGGTGCTGAAGGACAGGTACGCGGTGCCCGGCGCCGAGGAGGAGGAGGAGGAAGAGGAGGAGGAAGGAGGAGGCGACGACGCGGCCGCGGGCCGACAGGAAGGGCGCCGAGACGCGGGTGACCGCGGCACAGGCGCAGCGCGGCCGCGGCCGCGAGGAGGAACATA